CCATAGAAGAGAAAGGGCTGGGGTTCGATTCGCGTTATTCGAACGCATCCGCTGCCACCAGTGTAGAATACCCGAGCCCTCATAGGAAAAAGACTGGTACAACAGAACAGGCTTTATTGACCAATCAGAAGCCACAGCTACGCGTCAGACGCCTTCCATCCGAGTCCACCGCGCTGGCCACGCCGCTCATTATATACTGCATCTCATCCATGTCCTTCTCTGGTTGGCTGCCTTTCTTTCCCGCATGCCATTGGATCGTAGAGAGACACGGGATTGGCTGAGGCCAGGTGGTCCAACATGTCTGCGCCCTAATCCGACGCCACACCACACCAAACCACACTGGTGATTCGTAGGATTATTTAGAGAAAATCAGGTCGACTTAACTTCCGATTTTCTCACTTCATTAGGATGTAGTTTTTTTTCTTGGAAACACTTCTGTTAGGCGCGTTTCTTATTCAGTATTGTGATCCTAATGACGAGTAGTTAATGTTATTTAGTTGTCGAGTCATTGACATTCAGTTTGTAGCTATTTGTGTATTGTCTGAACTCTAGAAATGGTTTTGAGTTTTCCCCACTTCCTAGATATTTTTTTTTACAAAAATGACTTCGCTCACATTCTTATGAAACTCAATATCGCTGTCTCTTTTCTTAAGTAACTCTAAACCGATGTTGCTTTTTTGATGTTTCTCAATTAATTTTGGCCTAAATTTGCTATCTAATGTATGCGAAATGCCCTTATTTCTGAATCTTTCCATTTTGTCTGTATATTTCCCACGAGATCAAATGTTTATTAGGTTACTTTTTAACTGATTTTGCACTTAACCGTCTTCCTAATCTTTACTTCCTTACTCGCTGAAACGTGATAGTCAATCTGCACGGTACTCAGTTTTTGTAATTAAATTGACCAAATTTTGTTTCACCGCCTCTTCTACTTCAGATTAAGATGCAACACGCGGCCTCACTTAGTATCAAATCCTTCTTCGTCAAGCGATCCCTCTGCTCTACATCGGGCCCAATACAATCTGCTATTAAGGAGAAACTTACTGCTTTATTTAAGGTTTGACAAATTACTTATCGAATTTTTTAGCCATCCTATCTTCAAATTACCAACGAGAGCGCAAATCACGCCTCAAACCTTGGCCAAGAATCGCATTTTCGCATTGCCATCGTGTCGAAGGACTTTGAAAACATCGGTGACGTGATGGTGGGTTTTACGATGTACTTGATAATGCTTTTTTAGCGTCATCGACTGATCAAAAAGGCTCTTCAGCAAGAATTCGATGCCGGTCTCCACGCCCTCTCCATTTTGGTTTGATTTTTTTTCCTTTAACAATCGAAATTTAGGCAAAAGCGCCTTCCGAAGAAATGGTGGATCAGCAGTCAGTACCGTGTATTGGAAAGTCACGAAAAATAAACCTGGATGTGTGATTCCTTATTGTGTTTTAATTTTACTCTTAATAAACCGCATGCACACAGCCCTTTCCTGAATTCACTACTACTTAAAAATATAAGTAATGGTTTTGTTTTTAACTTTTGGAACCTCAGGAATTTTTAAATGCTTCAAAATTTTATCAGGTAGAAAATCCCGGTATGTGTGTCGCGGGTGTCACTTTGGTACAAGTCTCTTCGCCATTAGTTGACTACTGGCTTCCTGCATCGTCGTTAGTGCTGGTTGCTTGGACCTGACAAAGTTGTTCTTTTTTATCAATTTGTAACGGATAACTGTGGGCAGGCTCAACCAGTAACAACTACGACTTACTTTCGAAAGATGTGTGGCGCGTCTGTGATTCGCTGGTTCCTGTCTGTCAAGGTCGTTTAAATTTTCAAAAATCGTACGTGCGAACGATTCCCGTGTGCACTTGAAGTGGCTTTGCAATCGCTTCCCACAACTTCGCAGTCATACGCTGCCACACGTGTCTTTTGCCGTGAGAAGTTAATCGAGTAAATTAATTTCAATGCGTCGCATCACGTGTCCGTCAATTGCGTCGATAGAGTTAAAGTGCCTTCGTTCTCAAGGTCACAAGCTTCACTCGTATAAATGCATATATATAAATAGAGATGTGCAAAAAGGCGGCGCAGAGCAGAAATCACCATGACAAATGCCGCCGAATGGCCGCCTCACGTTCCCCACCAATCAGCGCGTTGCTGTGGCTGCTGCCTCAACGCCGCCATTGGTCACCGAAGCAGGGCAGAGGCGTTTTTCGGACCCCCGTCACCGGCGCCACAAGTGACACTCTATCGGACACACTCCGTGCGCAAAATTGAGCCGCACGTCTGCTGCCAGCCTCCACCTTCTGAGCCCTCACCAGACGCCTGCACTTCAGAAGGGAGACCTGAGTTTGTGCTGTCTCAACCGTTCATCCTTCAGGTATGAAATTGTATTCCAGATAGCGTCGTTAGACACAGCATTATGTGTTCGATGTGGACGCGGTTGTTTTAATTTCTGTCGACGAACTGCTGCGAGTTAGTTGCATGGGATGCAAATTTGACAACTAATCCTCTGTTAGTGCTACTGTGTTTGCTGGCGAAGCATTCATTGGTCCGTGGTTTAATTTGAACATTCCTCTCATATCTAAATATGTGTATTAGGAAATCACCTTGCAGTGAAAAGGTACAAGCAGTTTTAGTTAAGAATTTGCAGTTTGGTTGTTCAGTTGATAAGTATTGTGCAATTAAATTGTGTTGGAACTAATTTAGACCTTGCAAATCTGCTTTTGTGGCAGTGTTTATTGATTTTTAATTGCTCTATCGGCAAAATCGGCTTAACGTACCATAATAAATCCATGAAAACACTACTTTGACAGGAAGCTTGGTTTTGGTGCTTTTTGGTATGCCAGGAAGTACATAAGCTCCCCACTTCGCTCCCACAAACCGCAAATCATGACCCACGTGGTATTCATCATGGCGTCATTCTCTCTGATTGGTTGTTAAACATGCCCTGATTCATTTAAACACCCGTGCGTAGGGGATTGGCTGAGCTCATTGACTGCTGCCAAAGTAATCCAATGCTGTTCGTGCTATCAACGAACCAGTAGATCTCATGGCATTTACTATTAGTTCACATTTAACCCACCAAAGCTCAACGAACGTCTCTAAAACAAACACTCAAAGGAAACACAACATGGCAAGCCAATTTATTTGCAAATGACGTAGATGGGGTCTGAGATGGCGGACCTTTGTTTAACTGGCTTCATGTGTGTGTGTGCGTGTTGGTTGGGCGATACCAATTTGAAATTGGTAACTACTATAAATATTTTCCTCACGTAAAATGTTGCAAAGAAAAGCATCTTTAAGCTAGGAAATGACTTATCGATTCATTCACATTCAAGGTAACAGAAAAGTTACCCAAAAATCGTGAATTGAAAAACCCCCCATTGTTTGTGACCTTCAGGTTTGTCGAACCAGCCAATCAACGTTCAAAAGTCGCTTTGCGTGGTGCCTCAAGGCCAGCCCATTTTCTTTCGATGGGATAACAAATTGGGTGTAGGCAAAATTTTACGATCGGGCGTCATTGATAACTTAGTGAGAGATTAATCGATAGTTAGTAATATCAAGACAAAGATGTCCTTGATGGTACAATTGCATCATTTAAACAAGGTTCACGTTTGCAAATAAGTGTTTGACTAGAGATTTAAGTAGGAAAATAGTTACCGTTGTCTGATAATAAAGTCTTCGTAAATAGATCACTATTTGCAGCTTTTAGGGTTGTTTAAATGTCATTGGTCAGGTTTGCAAATCATTTGGCAAATAGGAATACTCTTAGTCGTCACTGGATCCTTTAAACTTGGTGAGTTTTGGATAAAATTAGTTTTCTGTGAAAATACGCACACCTAACTGATGCACCACGATACGTTCACAAAGGGCATTGGAAAACGTTTGAATTCTTTGTCGTGCAAGTTAAATACACGTGATCTCGTGGCTGTCACTTCTCAACACCTCAGACTACTATCGCTGTTTAATTTGGTTTATCTACCCTGAAGCGACCACAAACCCAACACATTACTTTTCCCTTTTATTGTATTTAAGTTAAGCAGTTACTGCCACGCACGCACACCACTCACTCGCATGAATTATTCACAGGACAGGTGTGTGTGTTCGTTTTTTGGACCAATTTCGTGAAATCCACACGTTTATACCCAAAATCTCCCTCCACTTGATAGAGACCGTGAAAATCGATATTTTCTTTCGATGTTCGCTCGAACTCTCCACGCCACTTGCTGGCGTTCATATTTGGTTTTCAAGCATCGCTTTTTTCTTGACCTACACCGGCCTGAGTTGGGCATTATTTATTGTAAAGGCAGGAACAAGTTTGAGCAGAGTAATTTAGGCGTTACGACAGCATGAGAGAACGAGGGGGTTTTGTCGTGTTGACGTGAGAACAAGCTTACTGACTAGACCAGACGCGTTAGCTTGTGTGGCCTGGAGAATGTCAAAAATTTGGAGCACTACAACAGCTTCACGTGGAGCAATATTTTAAAAATGCCCACTTTTGATGTGACCTTGATCTATCGATCATCCGCCTGTCTAGCGCAATGAAGTTGGTCCTTTAAAAGCACCTGTTAAAAATGGTTAAATAACAGCATCTGTTATAAATAACCTGAACATCATTGCAGCAGGTTTATTTG